AGGCTGCGATAAAAGGGCCAAGACAAACCATATTGGGTTTATTCAGGATTTAGCAGGAACACCAACATGCAGAAGCCTTATCTGACGGTTCACCCCCAACCCCCTCCGCTCTGCCCGGGCCGCAGCAAAATTTTAAAGTCTTGTTCGGTCCGGGATAATAAAAAGTTGAGGACCCCTGCTTTATATGGTAGGCTGCCTCAGTCATTGTTTCACTCACGGTGTTTCACTCACGGTGTTGGTGTTGCGATATTGTACCCAACTGCTTTCTGGGTAACACCGACACGCTGCCTTTAAATATATAGGGACTGGTCCCTTGGTAACCCTTGTCGAAGCACCGCGCCCCGCTCATGAGACTAGGATGACGCGCATTAGTGGGCGTCCCTTATTTTGATTTCTGAAAGGTGGCAACCCTAGCAACACGACATACGACTTACGGCAGGGTAGACAAGGATCCGACAAGAGACAGAGACAACAGGTGGCATTAAAGACACAGGGGGTGATCACGGAACAAGAGACACCTCGGAACAATCAAGACAGGACGACACAGAGACTCACAGAAAGAAACAGAACCAAAACTAAGCAGAGAACTCAAATCATTACACATGAACATTGAAAATTAACATTAGCATGAACCTTTTTGAATTAAAGGTTGATGCTACCAGGACAACTTTAGTGGTTTAAGTTGTCCTGGTATCTTGAGTCCCAGCCTGAGACAACCTTTAAATCATCATCCATCCATCATCCATCTTTGGCCCCTCTCTATTTTAGTTTCTATTATTCTATAACTCCATCAGTTTTACTTAGCTAAGTTTAGTTTATTTAAAGATTGTTTGTCTCACCATGATAAGTCTTAACAACAGGCATTGCTCTGTCCAAGATGTTCCACAGGTAAGACACTGACTGCTCACACAAACACATTAGCGAAGACCTTGCTGTCCCTGTAAGACATTTGGACCCCCTGTTGCTGAAGCCCTGACTCACTTTCTTACTGTGTTTGCCAGAGCGAACATGATGGCCTTGCTCTGTTTGTACTGAGCCATGCTGAGCATGTCTCTCACACGTGCTGCATCTGGATTGGGCTGCAGAGCTAGCGCATACACCAGAGCATCCACCTCCAGGGAGACCCTGTCAGTGGTCCAGATGACCTGCATGATGGCGCTGGTGCACTCTGAGGTTCCACACTGGAACAGGGCCTGGAAGGTCAGCCAGTTGGACACTTGGACCATCTCAGCAACTGTCTGGCTGAGGGTCTCGTTCCTCAGGACTCTCAGGCTGGACACCAGCTTGTGGAAAAGGCTGGTCCGTTTCTGACCCTGATCTGTGCTCGCTAGCGCCACCAGCTCCTGCAGGGTGCCCAGAACGGCATCCTTCATCTGGACTGGAGTTTTGTCTTCTGGTTTATCAAGGTGGAGAGGCTTTGCCTGCAGGGGGTCTGCATCTGTGAGCAACAAGTTGATGTTTTAGGTCCTAAGTTTTAAAACTGAAAATCCACAGCAGTTTTAGAAATAACAGCTCACCAAATCTTCTGCTACTGGTCCTTTTTACATTTTGAAGGCTCAGATCCTGGGTCACCGTCGATGAGATCCCGTTCTCTCTGAAATGCAAACGATAGTGTGGCTAAGAACCTTCAATACTCTCCAGAAATGCAGCTCAGCTCTGAGTCAGACTCACCCGCTGGAGAACGGCAGGTATCTGTGCTTTTCAGTGCATTTGGCTATGGTGATGTGTGTTCCTCTGTTATCAAACTGGTATCTGCAGCTCTGGGTGCTGCTGATGAGTTTTGAGACAGGGTTGTGCTGAAAACCAATCAGTGAGCAGTTATTTCTGCTCAGTAGAACCAGAAGCAGCAGGAGGAGGAGCTTCTCCCAGCTGCTGCATGGTGAAGTGGTTTTAGGTGGCCCTGGCAAGTCTAGACTACATAAACTAGAGGGGGACAGTTTCTCTCCAGATTATCCATGGAGTGAAGCTGGAGGGTCAGAAAGTTCCTGAGACTTTGGACGCTCCTTTACAGCCTCTGTGCTGCGGGTGAAGCTGCACCCTGCAGGCAGGTTACACTTTCCAGAAGTCAATAATTTGCTACATAGAGCGTTTTCTCACCATCTGCTGCAGCAGAGCCACTGGGCTGCTGGTGAGAGTCCTGCCATAGAACTGGTCACACTGGGACAGATCTCTGGAAGCACTGGCGTCTGTGGTAACATCCTGCCTGGAATGAACCGTGACTGTGGTGAGACAGCGACCGTGGACCGTACTCTGAGGGAAAACACAAACACCAGCTCAGAGACCAGAGATGACTGTTATTCTTGGAGTGTGTGAAGATCGTCCTGCTATCTCCGACCAGTTGGAGCTCTATGGTGTTGGACACTAACCACCAGACCAGTCCATCCATCCTCCACGACGGGAAACAGGAAAGCAGAAATGATGCCTCTCTTGACGTTGAGGATGTTGATGGACTCGTCCGCCTCGGGGTAAACCTCCACACGGCCGTTTGAGTGGACACTGACCTTCAGCGGACTCCTGGAAGAAGACACTTGTGTTTCAGCACAAAGTAACATCTCTGTCTCATCGCTCTTCTTCTCCTTAGTATCTTTTGATGGTCACTGGACCTCAAAAATGTCACTACTTGTGAAACCTGCATCACAAAATGCAGGGATAATAAGAACTTCTCAACCCAGTTCTCCATGACGAATAATCAACAGGGAATGACTTTTATTATCTTAGGAACTTCACTAAAATCACACATGGTTCTTGTCTATGCATTTGTTCATTGACCAGTCTACTTATATTTGAACCAAAACAAGGAAATATGAGCCCATTGCTTCAGTACTGACGCCCGTTCACTAATGGACTGCTGCTTTCCTGTCTGTCTGTCTGCAGCTGAAATCTCATGTTCTCCGATCTCAGGGCTGCGGCTTAAAGCTTAAAAAACCTGTTGGAGAGCGGGCATTTTCCTTTCTGGACCAGTTTCCCTGAAGACTGCAGCTCGACACGTTCTGTGGAGGTTTTTAAAGCCGAGTTGTTCTCTCTGGTTTATGTATCTTAATTTTATTGCTTTTCTTGGTGTGTCATTTTGGTTTAATCAGTTTTTTATCCATATTGTTATGTTTATTATCTATTGCAACAGACCGCTATGCAGAGTGTTGCGTCATTGGTGAGAAGTTTATGAGATTGTATAATGCAGAAATGTACTCAGACAGAAATGTTATTTTATTTCAGCTAAGCCAGTGTTTCTCCACCCTGGTCCTCAGCCCTCCTGTCCTGCATGTTTTAGGCGTTTCCCTTCTGCCACCTGGTTTGTATCTCTGGGTGATTAACAGGATCTGCAGCACCTGATGGTCCTGCAATCATTTTTCTCAGCTGTTCTGGAATAGAGGCTCATCTAAAACATGCAGAGCAGGGGGCTGAGGACCAGGGTGGAGAAACACTGATCTAGTCCACTTCCATCATCTGGCTTTTGTATCTGCAAGAGATATACATACTTTTGAGAATTGTTCATGCAACGCAGTGACGAATTATCTACATTTTGTATGATTCTTCACTAAATCACTCCAAAGCTTGTCAGATGGCTAAAAACTCCTGGGTGGGAGTTGCAACACTGTTGTCCACAGAGGAGTCTGTCTGCAGAAGGGCGGCGCTCTTTCTGTGGTGCTTTGTTAAAAGAAACTGGAGGATGCATGGAGGAAGGGGAACCCTGGCAGCTGTGGCCTGAAGCAGGAAGTGAGCCCCAAGCAGTCTGCGTCGCCGTGTGTGAATACGAGCGTCCCGAAACCAGGTGACTGCGCGCTGACTGCTCGGTTAAGGTGAAGTAAGAGAGTCTGTAAAAGAACAAAACCAGCTCTCCCCATTAGAAGTGGAAACGTTCGTTATAAACCAATCGAGTGAAGCTTTAACAGGTGTCCTGCTGTTTTTCTGGGACGGATCTAAAGTTATTCAGGCCTAAAAATGTTGAAGTCTGTTAGCTCTGCTCAGGTTTTACCGGAACCAGTATGTCCTCTGACCTCTCCATGACGGCTTTGAAGGTGTCGGAGCTGGGCGCCGGGCTGTAGGCCGCCTCAGCTCGAGCGTCTGAGGTGGACGCTTCACTGACGGTGCAGTCTCGTGTGTGAATGATGAACCTGCACGTCTGGGGGACTTCGATCTCTACCTGCAGATGTGGGACGAGTCAGTGAGGGGACCTCAGATAAGAGCTGTTATCAGTTTAACTGTTTTTACCTCACAAGTGACTTTAGGCCCATTTTGCAGGCTAGCAGAACCCGGCGCTACGTTCCGGCCCTCTGCGTTGTACCGGTACACGTATTTCCTGTGGACCTTAAATCTGGAAGCCACTGCAAAGAAGCAATCTGCATCTTTATGCTGAAGGCATCACTTTAGTCAAATCCTGATGTCATATTTCTACATCCTCCTGTACGTCAGACAACCCCCCAATACTGGAACAGCTGACCTTTGAACCCTTTGTGGCAGAGCTCCTGCTGTTATCTCCAACAAACAGGCCATTATCTCAGAGAGCAGCATTGATCCATCAGTAGCGTCTGTCTGTTTGCTCTGGATCGACCCCTGACCCCCAGATGTGTCTGTGGTAGATAACTTACTCTGACATGAAGCTGGTTCCTCCACATCTTCTGGAAAACAAACTGCAGGGTTAGAACAAAGCAGCTGATGAACATCAACAGAAGATTCTAATTAAAGTGTCTATTTCTACTGAGACTGGAGCTGAATGTCAAACAGCTAGAAACAGATGTTCCTCATCAAACAGAGTTTTCTTCTCCAATCATGATGCTAATCTGATCAGAGATCCAGTCAAGTCAACTGATTGGACTTGATTTGGACACACAAGTCCAGTGGATAGTGCAGGTCAAAGGTCTTGTCTGCATATGTCAGAGATCAGATATTCTAAAGTAGGTAATCTGGAGAAGGATCCAGAAACATTTCTGCTGTTCTAAAAGAGTTCAGAGTCTGCCATCATTGATCAGTAGAAGAAGAAAAGAACCAATAGGAGACCAAAGATCAGGATGGATGGATGATGGGTGGATGGATGATGGATGGATGGATGGATGATGGTTGAATGGATGGATGGATGGATGGCAGTTGGATGGATGGATGGATGGATGGATGACGGATGGATGGATGGTTGTTGGATGGATGGTGGATTGATGGATGATGATGGATGGATAGATGATTGATGGATGGATGACGGATGATGGATGGATGGATGATGGTTGGATGGATGGATGATGGATGGATGATGGTTGGATGGATGGATAGATGATTGATGGATGGATGGTGGTTGGATGGTTGGATGATGGATGGATGATGGTTGGTTGGATGGATGATGGATGGATGACGGATGGATGCCATCACCAATTAAGAATAGAATCATTGCAGAGATGTGAGCTGTCCTTGTGGTTGCTATGGTGATTCCCACTGTTTCTGGGGTCAGGGAGCCCACAGCACCACGGACAGATCAGACTTCCGCTGTGTATTAAAGGGTTAGTCGTGTCATCAGCTGAGTTTCCTCCATCAATCAGATTTTTTATAAAGTATTAAGGTATTGATCTGGGAAAAGTTAATAATAATCAATAATAAATAATCATTCATAATTATCATAAAATAATCAATGACCTGAAAATATTTAGCGCTAACAAACCGTGGAGCCGCTGGACGCTGCTAGCATCACCATGGCAACCTTTACTGGTTGATCAGTTACTGCCAGTAAGACCAGTTAGTCACACAGCCTCACAGAACCAGTAAGTCTTTGCTGCAGTTCTTATCCGTTCCCAAACCCGTGTGAGGTCCAATCTGAACAGCAGAACCAGAAGCTAGACGTTACAGCTGCAGATCCGAATCAGCAGATCCTGCAGCCAGCTAACGGAACCGGGTCGGTGACTACAGGTCCAGATGTTCTGAAGTTCTACAGGAAGGTCCAGACTTACGTGCCAGAGCGGCGCTCAGCAGCAGGAGCAAACACAGCGGGCCAGAATCCATTCCGGGCCCAATAACTGGGTTCTGCTGCAGGGTTGATCACTCAGGTTCTGCAACCGGGCCAAACAGACGAGTTCTGCTGGTGTACCTGGAGCGTCCAGCATCGACTGCGGCGGCTCCGGTCCGATTGGATCTTTTATCTGCTGCGGTATCGGCCGGGTCGAAGTTCAGACCGTTACCCGGTCAGCTGGTTCTGATTCAAATTCCCTGCCAGGCACGTGCAGAGGGGGGACCTGGGGGGCCTGAGCACCTGCCCCTTTTGCTCCTTGCCCCAAAGTGCCCTTTTGGTCAATTTTTTTGGTATTATTATTTCCTAAGCCCTCTTCTGACAAATAATAACATGTACTAAAATTCTTTGTTTTTTGTTGGGTTTTTTTTTTTTGTACAACATAATAAGCCTTCCGGTCACCTTGTTACGTTTAACCTTTTGCCTGTGACCCAGTTGCCTCCTGCGCAGTGAGATAAGGCGGCTAACTGGAGCTCAACGTAGAGAACGATCCAGATTACAGATCAGTTTTTGGTGAATTAAAACGTTTTTGGTGAATAGAGTAGATTTGCTGCTTGTCAGATGACGGAAAACGTTGAAGTCTCGTTTCTGCTTCAGCGGTTTAAGCAGAGAGGAAATGAAATACAACAGACACTGACAGGCCTCTGTCTGCCTT